TGAATGTGATTATTGTGGAAAGAAATTTTATCAAAGTAGCAATTTGAATACTCACTTGAAGATACACAAACGAAAACAATCTTTATGAATGTGAAAAGAAACTAAACACAGTATCAATTTGAAAACTCATTTGAGGATTCAGAAGAGAAATCACTTGAATGAGAACATTTTGAAACATTAGTGATTTGAGACTACAAACAGGGAAAATGTGATCATTATGAAAGGAAATTTAGAGAGATTCCATGTGTGGTAATTGTGAAACAAAATTTTAATCAAATTTTAACTTTGAAAAACATGTGTATGTTAATAACATACAGCACAGACACCGTGTGTAAGTGAACATTGTGGAAAGAAGTTCAATCTGTATAACACTTTAAAAAACATTTAAGGATACATATCAGAAGAAAGACAATTATAAATTCGACATTTTTGGAAAAAATTTTAGAAACAGTTTAGCACTTTTCTGTACATTTGAGAGTGTGCATACAGGAGGGAAGCCATACACAATGTTAAGAATTGTGTAGGTAAAATGATCATCTGAAAAGATATTTAATGATACCATATTTTTAACAATGTGGAAGAATTTGAAAAGAATTTTATAATTGAAAGCACACTTGTTTAATACATTATATAACTTACATAAATTGGGAAAAAAATGAATCTAATTAATTTTAGTGCAGTAGAACTGTACCTAGCAATTTTAAATGACAGCTAAGAAAATATAAGGGATGATTTTGCATTGGTAAGAAGAATTTAAAGACGTATAATTTGATCTTTTCCTATCCTTGATAAAATCTTTTGAGAATTAGATAATTTTATTAAATTCATCATAGTATTGTGCTGTACTTTAGTGCAAAGTAAACTTGGTTTCCATTCCAAACTGGGTAGTTAAAACAGGTAACCAGGTACAGTACTTGTTTTAGTAAAGTTTAGTGTAATTGTATCTGCAACTGAAAAAGAAAAAAAAAGCTGATAGTAGTTGTTTTGGTGCTTGATGTTGGTCATTTACAGTACAGTATTTATTTAATTCACTTAATAAAACTGAGTTATCATCAATTGGAATATCTCTCAGTTAATTTAACAGCTGATGGGAAGATCACACAATTTCCGAGAGAGCTTAACACCTGGACCCACACAAAATCTTCACACAATTCCCCTCCTCCACCGCTAGTGCCACTATTATTATCAATTGGCATTAATTGGTTGATAATTTTATCTAATTTCAAATTTTATTTTACTGTATAGTGGAAATAATAGCCAACACAACCACTAACATAATGGCAAGGCAAAAAATTACTGAAACCAAACTTATCTTAAAATTCACTTCAATGAATATTTTGTTAACATTGGCACTTCAATTTTTAATAATATAAATGTATTAAGTCCTTTAGTTCATTAAAGATTACCTGACCTGGTAATATTAAAGATGAAGTTACTAACTTAATTTCTCAAAAGACAAAAAGAGTCCTCCTGGGACTGACAGTTTTTCCAACAAAATTTTAAAACAAATGTCTTAACCATAAAACACACTTCAAATGTCGGGAAAGCTCATTTCCCGCCATCTAGGAATCAAAATTTTCCCGGTAGAGAAACACAGGACCTCCCTTTCTTTTTGGGATTTATTGATTCATGTCAAAATACTACGTAGGCCTATGCAATTACTCGATTTGTTATGTATGTATACGAACATAAGACATATTTACTGTAATACGAATGAGAAAAATCTTCAAGAACGGAAAAAATTGATTTTTGAGAACTTAAAAATTCATTAAAAGGCACTTCAGAAGTAAAGATTTTCTCATTTCCCCACCATTTTAAATCAACATTTTTTTTCGTGGGAGAACTAGAATTCCCCTTTTTCTTTAAGAGGGGAACCTTGAATTTTGAAGAACTTAAAAGTGTAGTTAAAAGACATCTGAGAAGACAGGAAAGCTCATTTAGGGATTTCTTTGGGACTGGAAAAATGATAACCAAAAGGTCCACTAACAGTGGAAGTTCAAATAAAGTAAGCCACAGACATGAATAACAATTATACTCCACATACATCCTTAGAGATTCAGATGATTTATTGACCAAGTATACCATGAAGATATATAAAATGGAATTGGTTTGAATGCAGGTTAACATTTACAAATAAATGTAAAGAAACTAAACTTACTGAAACATATACAGTAATAACAATTATACGGTACATACATATCAGATTCAGATTTTATGGTCAAAGTGTACATGAATATTTCTAAATTGATTAGGATTTATTACAGATTAACATTTATAATGAATAAAAAAAAAAGCTAAGCTTATTAACTATTAAATCATATACAGTATATTCCTTTTTACGATGATGAAATGATAAAAATACTTCTCCCCTTCCCCCTCTTTTAAATATTTTCCTGTCCCCCCCCCCCACTTTGAATCAGATTACTTATGCAGATTAGAATTTATAAGAAACCTTTAAAATGTATATAGGAATAATCAATCTGACTCAACGCATGTTATTCATTTAATGGGTGTATGCCCGTAGGTGTATTTATATAATATACCCTCTGTTGTGAGCTTGTTAGGTTTTTTTATACAAAAAATCCAAAAGGAAATATACAGGTATTAAAAAAAAAAAACCAACTTTTAAGTATCAAAATTTATGAAAATCAAATGGATAGGATGTACAAAAAACCCCCAATAGATTGAAAAGTAAAATGTTTAAAATCATTACGCAAGAAAATAACAAATTTGCAAGCACTACAAAAAAATAAAATCATTAGATCAATAATGTGTGATTCAAATTTGATGAGAACTACACTGTAAACAAACGAGGGTGGCAGATTACAGTATTATTGTCTTCAGTTATATATTTTAACAGTTGAATAACAACCACCAATTCGAGACCACTTTTCCAAATGCCTAAATAACAATTTTTAATCTTTTAAACACAAAGTTAGCCCTCTAATTGGAGACCAACCCCGAGACCACCCCAAATTTCGAGGTCCCAAAGGTGGTTTCAAATTGGAGGGAGAACTGTAATTCAAAATTGAACAAAAAATTAAGCAATAAAAAAATATTTAAATAAATTTGGTTTTAAATAAAATCACAATAAAATAATGGACAGGTTAAAAAACAAGTTCCAGCAATCCAACATCATAAAGATCAAAAGAAGAAAGTGTTTATGGCAGATATTGCATCTGTCACATCATGAAGATTAAAATTAAAATTTGAAAATATGTTTAGGGTTGGGGTATTACTGTTTCATTTTAGTAAATCATAATGATATTAATCTATGTGAAATATTTAAAGCACTTAATCTGTGAAATTTAAAGCACTCTAATATCATCTCTGTAAAAGTTGAAGTACTCTAATATTTCTGTCTGTCCTTACATGATTATTTTTCAACCAGTGAAGTTTTTGAATTCCACCTCAGCATATCAAACAATGGCAGCAGAGTATTGCAGGGGGAGAATAAGAAAAAGTTTGAAGCAAGTAGTATGAACAAACATTGAGAATTCTAGGAAGAATATTGCAAACCTTGATAGTCTTTAAGAAGATCATACAACAAGCAGAGAACTGCAGAGTAGAACAGAACAAGAGGTAAGGAATTAACTAGGAGATTTGCACTGACTTTTTCTTTATTACGTTAAGTTTTTTTATTATTATTTTATTTTATTTGAAATGATTTATTTATTTTTTTTAATTTATAATGTATTTTAATATCAAGTCAATTGTAGGTGTTGTACCAACATAAAATCAAGAGCAATATGAAAATTTCTGGGCACATTTAAAATTATAACAATAATTATTAACATATTTTTTTCATTTTTTGAGCAAGAAGAAACTTCCTTTGTCTCAATATTAATTATAATAATAAATTGTAAAGAGTATCTGGAACACCTAATAGATGACTTGTTAAACTCTTTTCTTTCTATTTTGTTGATATCAGAACACAGATGCGGAGGAAGCGGAGCTTAGTAGTTACTGGGTCATCTGGTTCACACATTCAGACATTTTCAAATATGTTTAAGAAAGGTATGATCAAATATTTGATTTGTTAGTTAGAAATCTTTCTTATTCTGGATATTTTTACACTGTTCTTCCCTGAGGTCCAGGGTATTATTTGTTTGTTGATAAGAACTAATCATAGGGTAAATCTTGAGTGATCATGATATCACAGTTCTCTGTAATACATGATTACACTTGTGTACTGGATAACAGTAGAACTGTACTACAAAGCACAGACCCTATATACAATATATAGGGTCTGTGTACAAAGTAAGCCACAAAAATGAATAGCAATTTCTGTACAGACATCTATACAGATTTAGATGATTTATTGTCAAAGTATACCATAAAGAAATATAAAATGGAATTGGTTTGAATGCAGGTTAACATTTACAAATAAATGTCAACAAAAGCTAAGCTAATCATAAAAGCTAAGCTAATCGTATATAGTAATAACAATTATACTGTACATTACATATCAGATTCAGATAATTTATTGTCAAAGTGTACATGAAAATCTATAAATTTATTAGGTTGTATACAGATTAAAATTTATGATGAATGCAAAAAAAAAAAACCAAGCTTAACTACCTAAATCATATACAGTATATTCCTTTTTATGATGATGAAATAATAAAATGCTTACAAACCCCCTTTTCAATATATCCCTGTCCCACTACTTTGAGTCAGATTATTTACGCAGATTCAAGTTTATAAGAAAAATTAAATATATACCAAAATAATCAATCTGACTCAGTGCATCTTATTCATTTAATGGATGAATGCCCATAGGTGTATTTATATTATACACTCTGTTGTGTGCTTGTTAGGTTTTTTTTATACAGAAAAACCAGAAAAAATATACAGGTACTAAAGAAAGAATAAACAAACTTGCAAATATCAAAATTTATTAAAATCAAAGAAATACAAGTTGATAGCAGGGGCGTACCGTGGGGGGGTCGATGGGTGCTGTTGACCCCCCCCCCCTTTTAAAGAAAGTGCCCTTTAAATATGCTTGCTTCACTCACAAATAACGCACCCAACGAATTCTGAAAGCTTCGCTAAATTGCTCCGAGTTCAGCTTGCCCCCTGCGCTTTCGTTTCGACCCCCCCTTAGATTTTTCACCGTACGCCCCTGGATAGGCTGTACAAAAAAGCCTCAATAGATTGAAAAGTAACATTTTTAACATCAATATGCAAGAAAGTAACATGTGTATGCATTATATGATTATAAACTTACACTACAAAAATATAACATCATAAGATCAATAGTGTGTGATTCAAATTTGATGAGAACTACACTATAAACAGTTGAGGTTGGCAGATTACAGTATTAATGTTTTCAGTTTAATAACTTCAACTCTATAGATATTGTTTATGTAGAATAATTAATATTTTAACAGTTTAAAAAAAACCCCACAATTTCAGCTCTATGTATATCATATTCAATAATGAAATATTTTAACAAGTTTATAAACATTATGCCAACTTTATATTTCGATATTATTTTATTCAATAATTATTTTAAGTTTAAGATTCATAACTTAACTCTATGTGGATGATATGAAATAATGGATATGTAGATATTCCTACACTTATAAATTTGAATTGTTGAAAACACACAAGTGAAGCATGTGGACTATCAATATTTAATAATTGAATATTTTGACTGTTTTGTCACTAGTATTTGCTACTGCAAGTCTCCTTGGATGATATGAAATGATGGATAATCCGCCTGGATTGTTGATTCTATCTTCTGATTTATCAATTCTTTTTATGAAATTTCCATCACTACTGAATAGCTGTAGTTTGTGTTCACTTGATATAACGATGTTGTCATCCTCATCAACTACTACTGCACTTGGAGAATTTACTTTACCATCCTCATCACCTGCTTCAACAAGGACTTTTATGAACCTTCCCTCATTATTAAATAATTGTAATCTACTGTTGCGATACTCCAATACAAGAAGGTGTCCTTGGTTAGTAAGAGTAACATCATTGAAATTTCTCATTTGACCTTCTTTTTTACCTCTTAACCCTATTGTTTTGATGGTCTTGCCATTATTCATGTCAAACATGTACACACAGCTACTCAACAAACCTGTTGCATACAAAACATTTGATGTCTCATCCAAATGAATGCTCCATGGTGTATTCTGTACTCCCTCACTAACTGTTTTAATCAGCTGACCATTCATATTGCATATTCTGATAGGTCTAAAAAGATTGCAATCACTGAATGCTATGTTACCATTCTTCATTTTGTACATTCTGTTAACTTTCACACCTTGTGGTAGTGTAACCTTACCAATATATTCTCCTGATTGCTTGTACTTGAGCATTTTATTTGTCCAACATGAAACCAGTAAGGAGTCATCTTCACACTTAACTACATCTATAATATTTGTTGCATTTATTTGAATAGTATTTACTAATCTTCCCTCTTCTAATTTGATTATCATTGGTGATTGGTTAATTGGTTCATCATCAGCACTCACATCTAGTTTACAAACTCCTGGATTTGTGAATTTTCCTGTCACAAAATAATCTCCATTGTCATCTTCCTGAATTTGAGAGATGTTGGTGTCCCCTGTAGGCTGTGTCCATGTTGCCTTCAGTTGATTTGCATATTTTTCATGTTCATCTGTTTTGACTATTTTGACTATAATTGTCTGATCTGTGATCACAGATTCCTCTCCTTTTAGTGTTAAACAGTCTGCTGCCCTCAATTCTTTTATATTCCCTATAGCACATTGTCTCAATGAAGTCATTTGCTGTTTGTTTATGAAGTAGTAAATTTCTCCATTATCATCTGGCTCTGTTTTTGGTAATTCATTGATTCTGTCCCTGAGTGCTGTAACTACTGTTTCACTTAACTGCATTGCAGTGCCTTCATCACTCTTCAATAATTGATTAAGAAAAGACAGTTTTGTTTTTATATCGGATAATATTGCTTTAAATTCATCCATTTGTACATCATTTACCTTCTTTTTTCTTTTGTAGATTGTCTCTACTTCATTTTTCATTTTGTCTCTCTTCTGTTTTACTTTTTTGAATATTTCTTCAGCATGATTGTCTATATCTATTAAACATGTGTCTTTATTTTGTTGTAATTTAGTAGCATTAAGAATAACAGCTTTGAGACCACCTTCTAATTTGTTTATGAATTGTTGGGCAGATTTTTCCAAGGTGGATGAAGTTTTTTTAAATGTTTGGAATGCGTCTGAAATGTTGATAGGTTTGTGTTTTCCTTCCCATTCCTGCATGCCAAACAGAAACTATGGAGGCAGTTGAGGGATTTTGGATTTTGAAGTCTCTTAAAGCAGATGGTACACTCTAAGACCTTCTCATCAACATGTTCCAGAAACTGATTCAACTTACTCATAGCCATCTTGAATTGATATCCTGTGAAATTTAAATAATAGGTGATATAATTATTATCATTTGAACTGGATAAATAATTATGTCATGCAATTATAGTCTGATGACCCTATAGAAAATAATGGCTTCTATCTCCTATTTCGTATAGGGTCTGAAATAACTTGACAATAATTGCTTTATAGTCAGTTAGATATAAATGTATGCTACTGTATATATAATCAAACCACTGGTCACAGCCCCCTCTAAGTCTGCCCCTTAACAGGACATTTTCCCACAGTCTGTACCACCTGGCCATTGGCTTTCTAGCCTTGATAGTGTGTAGCCAAGTATGAAACTTGAAATAAATGGCATGATGGTACATTGTTTAGTGTTGCTGCTAACAAATTTTTTTCCTAAAAAGTTACCTTTGATGATTTATATTTAGTTTAAAAGTTGTTACTGCTCTCTCTATATAAGATTTTTTTTAGGGGTAATCACAGGGGTGGCTCCAAGATTTGCCTGACAGGATGTCTGAGGTCCCCAAAGCATAAGGTGGACATGGCCCTTAGATTCTTTTTCCCAACAAGCTGTAAGATTTTGCTGTCAAGAGCAAAATAGGAGTGGTTGAGTGTTTCTTAAAATGTTCCGAAAGAGGGTCCAGGGGGTGAAGCCCCCAAAAAATTTTACAATTTATTGGTTTCAATTTTAGAGTCTACTAATATGTGCAAAGTACATATTAATTTTTTTTCTTTCTGGCAAATTGTGTTTTTCTTCTTGAAGGGAGCCCTGGCCGCATTATCTTTTTCCCCCATACAGTTCAGGTAGAAATTATATAGGGCACATTTAGGTGAACTAATAACATGAATAATGCATGTATGCTTGACACTAATCGCCAGTCGCGAAAGTGGTGCGGTGTTTACTGCTTGTGGAATATGAAAGCTACGGTGTAGTTAGGGCATGGAGGACTTAGTTTAAAAACTAAACTAATCCATCCATGGTTAGTGTAGGCCAAAATCCCTTGGTAGTCGGTCAAGAGGAAAGTGTATACAGTTGATACAGAGTGAACTACCGTAATTGACTATTACTGTAATTACAAGATAGTATATTACATACTTCAAGTATCGAAATGCACTCCATCGTGTTGGGATTCAATATTTCAACATTAATTATGTCATCAACTGTAATTAATTAACATACAACGTGGTCTTTGAAATTGTAAAAGGGCAGCGCTGAATTACTGGTCGATTGTTTGAGTAGTGTAAAGTATAGCAATAATTAACTAATACAGTGCTACCGTACTGATTCTAAAGAAATGTTTAGAAATGCTCGGACACACAGGTACAATTCTATGTATTTTCTTTTGTTGACTTCTATACAAACATTTCGTTTATATTCAATATGAATAAAGGCATAGATTATATAGCAAGCAGGTATATTATAAACACTAATTTTCAATATTTTATACACATGCTTTATAGCTTTATATTTTCTCATAAAAAAATTTTAATTGTAAAATTGTAAGTTAACTGTGTCTGAAGTATTAGTTATTTGTTTCTGAGCATTTTTAAACATCCTTCAGAATCAGTACTACTAGAAAATTGCTACAACACACACGTCATACTGTATAAGCCTTACTGTAGGCATAGGCCTATAGGCCTACTCAAATACGGTGCCAGATTCAATATTAGCCTTTACTCTTTTTTTTTTTTTTATACGTACATAGAATGTGTCTAATGTAGAACTACAATTTTTACACTGTCTTGACTACCAAGGCTTATTTGACAAAATTTTGGGCTAGTGACTCCATAGCATTCATCCACGCATAAAACTCAATGCACCACTGACTCTGTTTCGCAAAGGTGACACTCTATGCATATTCATGCATATCAGTTCCCCTAACTGACCTAAAATAGCACCCTCTATAATTTTTCTGCCGCAACTGTATGGGAAAAAGAAATATAGCACCCTTGCCCCCCCCCCACTTTCGCCACCTCTGTGCAATCATTGAATGAGCTGTGCATTATATCCAATATGATCCGATCAGGTAAGTGAGTGACTCCGCCCATAATGAGCTCCAGGATCCAGGAGAGTAACTGCAGAGAGTCCCACATTGGGTTAATTTAGATAATTTAAAAAATAAAAAATAAATAATTTGAAATTTGAAAATAATAATAATAAATTAATAAGTATGCCTTTAATTATACTGAAAATACAAAAGAAATATATACAAAGCAATACTGCAGAGAAGTTGCTGGTCTCTCTTTGTAAAAAGCAGTGTATATGTCAACTGATAACTGTCAATGACGGTCTAATGCCCTCAAGACAGAGGACAACTAACAAAACAAGTGACAAGTAATACGTAAATTTAAACAGCTTAGATCTATCCATAAAGGGAAGCCAAAACAATGAAGAGGGTTGAAAAAAGTACCTTAAGGCGAAAGTAGTGTCGCTAAGGGGAAACTTAAATGACGTTATGGCTAAATTATAGATAAGAGTATATA